ATACACACACACACACACACACATTCACAAGACTGAGACAGATGAGGTCCTATGATAACCAAAATAGAATCAGTTCATCGTTGATTCCAAGTGGACATTTGTGCCAAACTTCAGGATTGAGATATGCCATGTATGAGAATGAGATAGATGCAAGGTCACAGTGGCCATTTCCACCACAATCTAAACATGTAGGCCTTGACTCGAAGTGAACATTTTTGCTACATTTGAAGAAGTTAAAATTTTGTAAATCTAATTCATTTATCTTTAGTCTAAGTGGACATTTGGGATTTTGAAAAATTCCTCAAGGAATGTTTGACATATCACATTCACAAGACTGAGACAGATGAGGTCACAGTGACCTTGACCTTTGACCACCAAAATCTAATGAGTTCATCATTGATTCCAAGTGAACCTTTGCGCCAAATTTCAGAAAATTTCCTAAAGGTGCTCTGAAGACATCCAATTTAGGAAATAGACCCAGGGTCACGCTTACCTTGACCTCTGACCACCATGGTCTAATCAGCTAGGTCTTGACTCAAAGTGGACATTTGTCCCAAATCTGAAGAAATTCCCTTAAGTTTCTCTTAAAATATTGTAAATCTAATCAGTTCACCCTGAGTCAAAGTGGACAATTGGGGTGATTTTGAAAAAATTCCCTCAAGAAGTGGTCAAAATATCACGTTCACAAGACTGAGACAGATAAGGTCACAGTGACCTTAACCTTTGACCTATGACCACCAAAATCTCATCAGTTCATTGTTTCAAGTGGATGTTTGTACCAAGTTTCAAAAAAATCCTTCAAAGTGTTAAGATATCTGGTTTAGGAAAGTAAAATGGATCCAAGGTCACAGTGACCTTGCCTTTTGACCACCACAATTATTCAGGTAAGCCTTAACTCAAAGTGAACATTTGTGCCAAATCTGAAAAAAATTCCCTCAAGGTGTTCTTGAAATATTGCCAATCTTATCAGTTCATCCAAGTCTAGATGGACATTTGGGCTGAATTTCTTTGTCTGAATCTTTTTTGTCCGGAGATATCGCATTCACAAGACTGAGATAGACAAGGTCACAGAAACCTTGATTTATGACCACCAAATCTTATTAGTGATTCCAAGTGGATGTTTGAAGATATTCCCTCAAGGCATTCCTGAGATACTACATTCACAAAAATCAGACAGACGTACAGATGGACAAAGGCGTAAGCATATTAAACTACAGATGCAGCCACTTCAAATTTTTGTTTGGCCTATGGCAGAGCCCTGACCGATCCGTCACAGGTCCCTGTTGTCACCTGGCCGGGCTTGTAGCTCTAATAAGATCCCCCACAATGACGTCGAGAATATGGGGCCGACTGGTAACACCCCTAAATTTAATTTGTAGAAACCAGTTGCAATGGTCTGTCTATCCACCAGGAGGAGCCGTGAGTGTGAAAGCTGAAGCGGTTTACTTCACCTCTTATTAATGTTATTGTGGGAGAGAGCTTCCCATACAGAGCATATTTAATGATCATCAGGCTACCATATCACAGGTCATAAATATTATGCTCAGACTGACCAATCAAAAACTTTCTCGGGTTTGGTTCG